GGTTTGCCCAATCCAGGGGTCATTGACCCTCGTGGGACTTCCCGCCCCCTTGGTGGCTACTGGACAGCATCTGTCAGCCCCAGGGGTCGTCCGCATGTACGTGCAGGTTTGGGAGTCCGTTGATGAATTTTGAATAGGGCTCTGGGAGCAGTTGATCTGGAGATACTCAGCCCAAAAGTTGGTCCCTGGCTTTGATTAACTCAGGCCAGGGCTTCTAGCCCTTGATCAGTGACGTTTAGAGAATTCCCAGTTGTTACATTGTCTTCTATTGAGTTCTTCTGTTGGTTGATCTGCAGCTTCCCAGGTGTTAATTGCTGTGTGCTACCTTGTTACACATTCAATCACTGATTCACTGGCTCTTTCAGGGGCCAGTCTGATACAGAGAAGGACAGTTTGATTCCTGCCCTTGTTAACATTGTTGCAATGTATAACTTACTAAAACACATTTAGTTGAAAGTTGAAAGGTGAGGAGTATAAAATATAAGCTACAAATGCCATGGCACACAAATAGATAAAAATACCAAACTACAAGGGGAGATACAAAGTGCACACACACAAATTTTAAAACACAATTCCTTATCTTAAAGTGAAAGAGAGAGGAAGGAAGAAAAGGTAGAAAAAGAGAAACATATCCAAAGAGGGGAGAGCAAATGCAGGCAAGAGGAAAAGGGGGCTTTCTGCTACAGCAGGACCTTTGCCAGTGCAACATATCCATATGTCTACACAGTTGAAATGCCCCTAGTGCAGGTATATTCTCCATTATTACTTCTTTTCTTTCAGGACATCAATATCTTTAGTTTATAATGAAAAGCTAGGTTGAACTAAGCTAAGCCTATAATTAGGATGCAACAGCTACCATTGGCCATCAAGTACAGAGGTAGGTCTGCTAAGCTGTTGCTAGAGTCTGTGTTCCTCCTCTATACATGCAGACTTCCTTTTCTGCTGCTCACCAGAAACTTTAGTGTTCGGCCCATTGATGCACAGTACATTCCCTGAAATATGGGAATAGATCAGGATACAGTATGCAAAAGTTATTTTATCCAAGCAGAGATGTGCCATCCAGTTGGGTGCAGTGTCCTGCATGCTTGGGCAATGAACTGACTCTACCTTTCTCCTTCCGATCAAAACCTCCACCTAGCAGCATGAGATAGAAGCAGCTATTTTCTCCACCCAAGTGCTGTAGCAGCATTAAAACAAAAGCATTCAAAAGCATGGGTTTGATTATGAGGGGATTGTGATGTGAAAATGTAACTGTCTCCTCTCCATAGCCCCCTCTCACCTTTGGCATTTTCTATGAATTTCATATAATTCCTGGCTTTTCCAGTTACTGCACAGTTCACCGTCATTCCAGGAATTGGGCATCCTTTACCAACAAGTTTAGTTCAGTTCAGAGCTTCAAGTTGCATCACCATCCACCCTCTACCCACCTCTGCTTGGAGCAGCATCCAACCCTGAAAGTGCAAGACAAAAGTAGCTTTATGCTTATCGTTATAACTTCTTTTCTGTCCCACCTCCCAGCAAAGGCATTCAAATCTCACGGTAACAGCATCTGGGTGGATGGATGGGAAACAGTTTTAACAGTCACCTAACAACTTGCCTCTGTCACATGCCTCTAATCTTTCACAGTAGGAATTTGAAGAAAGGTCTGGAAGCTTTTCAGTAGAGAATCCACAGGGTGGACTGACAGAGCTGTATGAAATCTAGTATATCGATCTTTACATACTAGCTGGTCTTGTAGATACTTTTTACAAGTCCATTTTACTTGTCTTCTTTCAGATAACATGAGTCTTATTGTAGATAGCCTACTTATTGAAATGAATGATGTTTAAACATTCACCTGGCCTCTACAGGTCTTGAGTGCCGGTTATATTTAGAAATAGAGATAAAATACAAATGGCCATGCAGAATTACTTTATTTGACCTTGCGAGCAGATTCTCAGCATCTGATGAAGTAAGCCTTTTGCTTACAAAACTTTACAAATGTGAGATTTTTGCTATATGTCTCCAATTTGGTTAATCTATAAACTGCAAGTCTACCCTGCCTTCTGCCTGATGTCAGACTAATAAGGCTCACTACTTCACTAAGCAGATTCCTTACCATTCTAACTGTTGGTATACATTAGTAATTTTTGCTTTGTTGTTCTTTTTTTCTATGCCAGGTTTTATAGTCTTATCCTTGCAAAGAAATCTAGGAAACCCAACCTATTTTTGCAATGCTGAATTTCTTGCAATTATTCAGGTTTTCATTTAAAAGAAAGGGGCCAGGGGAAAGGAAGGAAAAAGAGATTCAGCCAACTTTAGTAAAATTCCTTGAGACAATTCCTCTTATGCAATTATACCAGTAAAACTCTGACATTTTGATAGCTCATCCAGGTTTACACTGATTGGAGATAAAACTTTGGTTCCTTAATACCGAAGCTTGTGAGCTGCTCTGAGATAACAAGTTAATTGGTGATAGCAGCAACACTTCAAGGTAGGGGGAAAAGACTGATAATTGGGTTCTAAGTGTTCTACAGCAGCACAGAGAGCTACTGCTGTGTGTGCAGAGGCTGATGTGGAACAGCAGTGAGGTGCGTGCATTTTTAAGTTTGCATACATATTTGCAGAGGATTGATTTTTAAGGCCCTATCAAACCCTAGCAAATAACCCTGCAGTTCTGAAAACATGGTTATGTTTAGTTGTTTTATAACATGAGTTTATTTGCACCAAGATTAAAACTAAGTTATAACCAGCTGGATTTTTCTGGCCTGTGTAGACGGGAAAAAAAAAATTGTATGGCCACAAACATGTAACACAATATATAATATTGTTAAATATGGTAGGTTATAGCATTGATGTGGACATAAAGGGCATCTAGTAAAAAGAGAAGTGATAGCTTCAGGGTACATCATGACTTTGGAAAGACCAATTGGATCAATATAACCAGAAATCTGGAGATGGAGCAGCAATTTCTACCTTAAATAGGTGAATATATTGTGAAAATTCAGATAGGAAACTTCCATGCTCTTATATAGTTCTCTTTTATAGTTCTTGTTTACAACTTCTTTTGTTGAGTTGTATTTTAAAATGTTCAGAGGATATTTAACATGTAGGGCTCAGATTTCAATTTATTAAAGAATAGGGAGGAAAAAAATCAACTAGCGAGATCTCTACTAACTCACCATTAACAGCAAAAAAGGTAATTCAGTGTTTTTGACTATACACAGAGTAGGCCTGATGTTAGTTACACCCTGCTGGCATTTGTTAGGCCAATAATTGTGAATCCATTGAATTACTAGCAGTGATTCCTTAGATTTGTTTCTTCCATTAGAATCAATGTCTTCAAACTTTCTCAAACTGAAGACCTGATGAGGGGGAAAGAAAAAGGCATCAAATAAGCATACTTATGTCACCAGCTAGCTGAAATCTGTAGTGAGAAAATGTGCAACAATAGAGCAGTTAATCAATGAACTCTACAGCAGAAAAGGTCAGTGTGAACTTAAAGTTACTGCAATGTGGAATAAAAACAGGAATGAAAAGGTGCTGTTTTTGCCAGATGAAAAAATTCCATCTGTTCCTTGGCAGCAGCACTTCTGGGATGGACAGCAAAGTGTTTTTCCCCATCAGGTACAATCATTTGATTTCTTTTACTGCTCATTTCCCATAGGTTATCCACCAGTATGTGTTTTTTCTCTTAGCATAACTCCCTTTTAACCCCCATAATTATTTGTGCATGCACAAACATGCATGAGCGCATGCACCCACACTTTGCATTGGGTTTTAGAATTACTGCTCAATTTTTAAATTCTTGATAAAGAATGTTTATTGCATACTATCACTTAGGTAGTAGATACATCACGGAAAGCATTATACAAACAGTGGGCCAGATTCTTAGCTGGTGGGAACCAGCATGGCTCCATTTACTTCAAGGAATTGATCCATCCAACAATGCTGTTTATGAGAGAGGTTATTATTAGGGCTGTGCAAAGCTTCGGTAGCCAATTTGATTCGAAGGAGATTTGGCCAGATTTGGGGACCATATCTCCAAATCCAAATTGAATTGGGAGGCCAATTAAAAGTTCCAAATTGATTTTGAAGCATCTGAAGCTCCCTGTGCTGCTGCACCTGCATCCTGTGCCCCCCTCCCTGAGTAACGTGCCCCCCACCCCAGCTGGGCAGCTTGTCCCAGCCCCAATCCCTCCCTCTCCCACGCCCCTTTCCTCCCTCCTCCGCCCTCCCCCAACCCCAGCAGATTTACCAGCTGGAGGCAGCTGTGTCAGCTGCCTGTTTAGTCTATGGCCGAATCTCCGAAGCAGCGCCAAATCTTTCTGATTTGGTTGAATCAAATTGGGACACTGATTCAAATCTTCGAATAGAATCACTGTCTTCCAAATTGGCTGAATCCAAGCAAATACTTGCCCCTTTGCACAGGCCTAGTTATTATCAGTGTTCTGCAGGTGGTAAAAAAGAGAGGTGCAGCAGTCCAGCCAGGAAGTCAGTAGCAGAGCTGGGACTGCAACTCAACATTTGCTGACTCCTGCTTTTTTATTGTTTCTCAGGATTAGATGCCAGGGATGACTTATGAAGAAAGCCTGAAACAGCTAGATAGTTATTTAGTCTGGAAATGAGAAGACTGAGGGGAGATTTGGTAACAGTCTTCAAATACCTGAAGGGCTATTATAGAGAGGATAAAGATGGGCTTTTCTCCATGGCCCTAGGGCAGGATTATGTTATAATAGCATCTTAGGCCCTTGTCTTCTTTCTTCTGTATTAAAAAGAGGATAGTAAAAAAAGGCAACTGAGAAACCTCTGAATGTGTGTCTGGGCATGCGCATACATGTGTGCATGTACTTCTGTAATCACTTTGGGTCTGGAAGAGGAAATGGAAATTGGTACAATTGCACATGTGTATGCTGCAGTAGTGGGTGTTTGTGGTGTGTCGACAAGTAAACTGTGGGTTAAACCAAAAGGTAATTCTCTGTTCTGAACTATATTTTGATTGTTGTAATAGTGTCACATGGCTAAGCAGAGATTATGCTGTTATGAATATAATACTTATCTATCATATACCATAACAAACACTACATAATATTAAACTAAAAATCAGGCACTTGAGACTTAGGAGATGCACAGTCTTTACTTACATGATCACATCCTGTTTTTCATGGAAACTGTGCCTCATTCGGTGCTCAGAATGGCTTGTGTCCTGGGGCAAAACCCAGTCTGTGATGTGAAGGACCCTCATTTCCAGTGATAAAACAGCAGTTGGTTAATGCACAGAGGACTGAAGGCAGAAGCCTCACAGTTAAGTGAATGCCCAGGGAATTGCTTCTAATCCTTTCTGTGATGGTTTTCCTTGGTAATACTGAGCAAGTTGCTTATTCTAAATGTTGCATAGATAAAGAGTAGTAGTTAGCCATGTTAGAAGTCAGGCAGAAGGCAGGATAGAGTCATACCTTACACACACACACACACACACACACACACACACACACACACACACAGAGTTTCTGACGATGAAGTAAGCTGCTGCTTACAAAAACTCTTTGCATTATTTACAAATAATGTTGCATATTCCTCATTGTCTGGGTAACCCATTTTAAATACTGCAGTATTGAAGTCAGTAAGTGCCGTGCTCTGAACATCAAGTCTTATGAAAAGATGCATATTCTGAAAAATCAGGTCCTCAGCTTCTCAGAGTGAGTGCCTAAAATGAGTTGACACCTTTGACAATCATCTCTGCACCTTAGTTCCTTGTGTGAAAGGCCTGGGTCATTGCATTGTGTTCTGCTCAGTTTTATCTTCCACAGATATCTTTTATATCTTTTATCTTTTATCTTGATATTTTAGTCTTGTAGCTAAAGCTTTCAAGTAACATGGATGAAACATATTCCACAGCTGCTTTATTTAATGAACCTCTACACCAGGGATGTAACAAATAGGGTTTGTGTGCTGGGCAAACCCTGCAGGAGAGCTGGGTAGGGGCAGGGAAGCACTATGGAGCACTGAAAGGGTGGGTGGGTGGATGGGTGTTCCACCCCTGTGTGGGTTGCCCGTGCCAGCTGTTGCTCCTATGACAGCAATATAGTGCTCGTGCATCAGCTGCTGCTGCAAGAGCAACTCCACGGGGCTACTTCTGTTGCTGGGGTGCTGACTCTGGAATGGGGCCTGATTCTGGTACCCCTCCAAAGATAGTGCCCAGTGCTGATATTACGTTACTGCTATGCTGCCTACAAACACACATACACTCCCCATATGCAGCCGTGTATTGATTCTGTGGGAAAACCAGAGTGTTTTTAAAGGAGCTGTGTCCTCCTGTGCCTCTATTTTTAATCACTGGAAATGATGTGGTTAGAAAAGTGTTCTCCAACATTCCCATACAGTTTGTGGGGGGCAGTGTGTGTCAAACTACATAATTTGCTAAGCCTCAACCTCTCTAATAGCATTTCCCAAGCTGTATATCTGCTTTGGAGTAAGAGCTTGAAATCTGGAATAGGGGCTGCACATATTTCAGGGACATTACTTTTGCTATCTCCATGAAAATTCACTCATATATGGTTAAGTTTATCAGCTTCTGAAAAATCTCAATTCATACCTGGTTAGTAGAAACTTGTGAGAGTTTGGCAGCTACATTCTCTGCAGATTTATTTTATACATTAGGGCTGGACAAATAATTTATATTTTAGTCTTGTAGCTAAACCAGATTTTTAAAGATGTTATGTCAAGTCAACCCTCCAAATTCAAACAAAATGCTTCATTCAAACCAAAGTAAAGCGCAATCCCTTTAGGGACATTTTTACAGCCAATAAAGGAAATATGGATATTAAATGCTAGATTCATGCTATGTAGGCCTGCATGCTGGTGCCTTTTTATAGTATAGTTAGGACAGATGCACTTGAGTGGTGACCTGCAGTTAAATCCCATGATCCAGAACAGGAATTTTCAATAAGACTATTGTGTTATGGACTAGGTTCTCTCAACCTCTCTAGTTCATACAGTATCACTTTGTATAAAATACTTAACTATTCACTGACTGGCTAGAGAATACGTGAGTAAGTGACTTCCTCAGTAGGCCGGTAGTTAAGGCACCTACCTTGTGAAGAAACCTGGGTCCCACTCCTTATTCCAGTGAAAAGTTAATTGTTTCTACAATGTGGAATAGCTTCAAAAGAAACATCCATCCAAAAATATCCTGTAGTCTGATGGCTACCGGGGCATGCTCCAGGAAGCTGGGAGACTTCTGCTCAATTTCCTGCCCTGAATCAGGCAGAGGTGATATGAACCTAGGTTTCTTGCTTGGTATGAGAGTGACCTGATCCTGGACTGTAGGGTGGGTGGGAGGCCACTAGCTCTTTGCCCTTTCTTTTTTTGAATGGCATTTAAAGGTCTGGTAGTGTAGGAGTGATGTAGCTATGATGGTCCAGGAAATATGCAGGAGGCAAGAATTTTTGGGGGTGATATCATTATCTTTTATTGAATCAAATGTACTCTATAGATAGGAGAGAAGAACTTTTGCTGTTCATTGTTCTATCTGCTGCTTTCTTCAAGCTATGTCTGCTTCTTTTGAGGCCTGAGAAAGGGTACCTTGTGCTCAAAAGCTTGTCTAAGATCATTCCCAACTATGCAGTTGCTCTAATAAAAGATATTCCCCCTCCCCCAAATCTTGCCATTCTTATTTAAAGGCATGTTTATATTGCCTCAGTACTGATGCCAAAACTGCCCCTCAGAAACAAGCCCAACTTGTGTCCTCCAATTCCTGCACATACCTCGCACTGAAAAAATGTCATATGGTCACTATTCGAATCTGACACTACCTGAGACTGAGATTCTGAAAGCATGCCTGGGCATACACTAAAAAGTGACTACATGAAATTTTTTGGCAATTGGTATGTTCAGAGCAAGAGCACATAGATGAAGCTTGTTTCTTTGCAGACATCTTGGGATCATTGTAGAGGGGGTATAGGCATAGACATGCTCTAAGTCCCCTTGGAAACCTAACATTAAAAAACTAACATTTTGTTTGGAAAATAGAAATGTAAGTACTAAAGTAAGTCAGTAGAGTTGGACCTTGCAGTTGCTCTTCAACAAAAACAGCAAAGGTCCTTTGGTGATGTAAGCAAAAGAGAACAAAGGAAGACGTGGGAACCCTAGGCAGTGAGAATGCAAAACTGATTAAAGATCATCTAGGTATGGCCCCAAACCTAAATGTACTGTTTGTCTCATTTGTCTCAGTTATCAATGAGGACAGGAACATGGATAAAAGGCTAGATGGCTAATGAGAATGGGAATATAAAAATAGAAATTACTGAAACTAGGGTGGAAATAAAACTCAAAACCCCTCATTCATGAAGTTATTTAGGTGCCTAATTCCCACTGAAATAAACAGTTAAATAGCTCTGTGGGTCTGAGCCAAATGGCTTAATACACTCAAATCGGGAGGGCTTGGTAACCTCTGAAGAAAGGCATAGGAAATCATAGATACAGTGGGTTCATCTACATGTGAGATCAATTTGAGGCAGTAAACTCGGGTACTTATTGTGCCCGAGTTTATTGCTCCTGGGTGTACTGTTTGAACACGTGCCCAGGACCGCAGTGCACTGAGCCAGGTCAGAAAAGCCCCAGCTGGCAGGGAACCCTAGGGGTCAGCTTGCCAGCTCGGGGCTGCTCCGACCTGCCTCAACATGCTGCAGAGGGGCTGGCTGGGGCATGAGGATGCTACAGTGGGGAGGTGGGGCGTGAGGGTGCTACAGCAGGCAGCCCCTACACCAGGGGTGGGCAAAATGTGGCCCGTGGGCCGGATGCAGCCCACCAGGCCATTCTATCTGGCCCACAGGGCCCCTAAAAAATTTAGAAAATTAATAGTGATCTGCCCCTGGCTGCCTGTCATGTGGCCCTCAATGGCTTGCCAAAACTCAGTAAGCGGCCCTCCACCCAAAATAATTGCCCGCCCCTGCCCTATACTGAAGCACCTTGTGACCCAGCCAGCTGCATCAGTCTACACATGCAGTGCTGTGGAGTAAAAAACTCTGCAGCAGGAAAGTACTTGTATTTACATCCTTTACAAGTACTGTTCTGCTGCAGAGTGAATTAGATTCCTCCAGCCTAATAGTGCTGCAAGTGTAGACGTGAGACATTTACTGCAGAGCTAATTAGTCTATTCTGCAGTAGATATCTTGTGCAGACAAGATTAAACTGATTTTGAAGACTAAGTAAATGCAGTTGATTTCACCTATGTGGACTTCAGTAAAGCATATGACATCATGCCACATAAGAAATTATTAATTTGCAGTTAGGAGAAGAATTGTAAGGCAATAAGGAATTGGCTAAAAATGAGATAACAGTGAATAGTGTTGAAAGAAGAAAAGCAGGTTAGACAGGAGGTCTTCAAGTATCAGTCCTAGGGCTGGCTGCTCTTGTTTAATATTTTGCTTAATGAACTTCACACAAAAAGTAAGAGTGTACTGATGAAATTTTCTGATAGCACAAATCTGTGTGTCACTCTCAATACAGAGAGGAGGATTAGGATATCCTACAGGAAGTACTTGATGATCTTAAGGACTGGAGTCATAGAAATGGGATGAAATTCAGTGGTACCAAATGCCAGGTCAGGCAGTTAGAGACTGATAACAAGAATATCCCCTATAAGTGTGGGAGTGAGAGGGGGAGAATTGCATGAACTGAAAATAACTAAGAGAAAAACCTATGTTTAGCAGTTGATTACACAAAAAAGGAAAGGATTTCTTTCAGAAATGTTGAAATAACTGTTTTAACTGTAAAACTTTTCCCTTTATTTTTAATTCAACAGAAACTAATTGCTGATTTTTTTTCAGCTGCGGCTAGTAAAGCGACCAAAACGCTGGCTTGCAGCCATAGATGCTTCTCAAGCAAATCCCGGGACGTCATTCTCCCCTTGTACTTGGCCTTAGTGAGGCCGCAGCTGGAGTCCTGCGTCCAGTTTTGGGCTCCACAATTCAAAAAGGATGTGGAGAAGCTTGAGAGAGTCCAGAGAAGAGCCACGCTCATGATCAGAGGTCAGGGAAGCAGACCCTACGATGACAGGCTGAGAGCCCTGGGGCTCTTTAGCCTGGAAAAGCGCAGGCTCAGGGGTGATCTGATGGCCACCTATAAGTTTATCAGGGGTGACCACCAGCATCTGGGGGAACGTTTGTTCACCAGAGTGCCCCAAGGGATGACGACTAGGTCGAATGGTCATAAACTACTACAAGACCATTTCAGGCTGGACATAAGGAAGAATTTCTTTACTGTCCGAGCCCCCAAGGTCTGGAACAGCCTGCCACCGGAGGTGGTTCAAGCGCCTACATTGAACACCTTCAAGAGCAAACTGGATGCTCATCTTGCTGGGATCCTATGACCCCAGCTGACTTCCTGCCCTTTGGGCAGGGGGCTGGACTCGATGATCTTCCGAGGTCCCTTCCAGCCCTAATGTCTATGAAATCTATGAAGTTTCAGTTAACTCAGAACTGTATAATTCAGGCAGTAAACTATTCACCAAAAAAAATCACGAGCTCCAGTCTTCGTTGAGTATGCTCCACTCCACAATGACAGTCTGAGTAGGCTTTTCCTGCAATTGCTCCTCTGTCAACCGGGGTTCAAAATGACACTAAAAATAAGACCTAAGAGACTGACACTCTCTTCAGTGCTCTCAATGCCTTCCTTACTGTGCCAACCAGAAGACATCTGGGGCTAAATCTGAAGAGGTACTAAGCTGTGAGTCATATCAGCAATGTTATTTCCATGTACCAGGAGCAGGGTGAAAAAAAAAATCAGACAATGGATTGTAAATTATAATCAAAGTCTGGTATCTATGTAGGCAGAACTTATTTTTATATAGTGCCTTTACACTTAAGCTGTTTACAAAGTAGTGACTGAGTTAGGTATTAGGTGTGCAGTGACTGCGCAGTCCAGTGCAGCAGTAGTAGCACTTGGCTCTAGCTCATATACAGAACCTTGAGCATTAGAATGTATTATTGAGAGAGTAAATGTTACCTCAATCCCTGATCTTTGAAAATAGTCCATAGAATAATTATTAACCTATATGGACTTCATTGTGGGTTCAGGACTTGAACAGTGAAGTTATAATGTACTCTTTTCAAGACATCCTTAATTTTCAAATAGGCAGTCAGCAGAGACAGGCAACAAGGGTTTCATCCAAAGGTAAGCATCTCTAGTGCTGCAGCTCCTTCTCTTTTTGGTACTATGCTGTAGGCCTGAGACAACATCCTAGATGAGAACTCTTACTTTTTGCACAGACAAGTGCTGCTAGATGAACCAATGCCACCTTTATGGTGGCACAGAGTACATCTACGTGAGAAGTTTACTGCAGAGCTGCCTAATTAGCTCCACAGTAAATGTCTCTATCTACAGGTGCGCCCCTATTAGGGTGCATGAAACTAATAAACTGTGGAGCAGGCTAGTACTTGTAAATACAAGTACCCTGTAAATACAAGTACCCTGCTGCACAGTTTTTTCATGCTTAGCAGTGCACGTGTAGCTGCTGCCCAGCTGGCTGGGGCATGAAGTTGCTTCAGGGTGGGGGCTGTTGGCTGGCTAGCTCCGCACTGAAGCACCCTTGTGCCCCAGCCAGCCCCTACGTAGCACAGTGAGCCCAGTCGGAGTAGCCCTGGGCTACTGCCAGCTGGGGCTGCTCCGACCAGGCTTGGTGTCCTGCACACAAATGAACTCTGGAGAAATATACTCCAGAGTTTTTTGCTCCTGGGCACACATCCAACTGGTGTGCCTGGGGGCAAAAAAACTCTGAAGCAATAAACTCCAGAGTTTATTCGTGTGTATTAATTGCCTGTGTAGATGTGTCCACATTCTCCTAGATAGGTAAGTTTTCCATATCTGTTATTAACTATTTTTCTAACTCATCTCCAGACTTGCCCAACTTGTTTAAACTTGAGCTGGAACCCATCGTTGAATGAAAGGCCTGGCCTGCACCTGCTCTCTCCCAGCATCTCAACAAGCAGAACTAAAGAACACAAATTCTTGAAGTTCATCTATTACAGTGGTTCTCAAACTTCTGAGTCTCAAGGCACCCCTTGGAAAATGCCAGTTCTCAGCTGTCACTCATTTTTGACTAGAGAAAAAAATAGAGCAAGTCTTCTGTTGCAAAGAACTCAGAAAGATCATTACAGGTTAGAATGTTTTTAATTGCTATTTGAAATCTCTGGCTTTATCTTGTGAATCATGTGTAGGTGTTTGCAGACCTCAAATTTGTATGGCAACCTGCAGTACCCTTAAAAAGATTGCATAGCACCCCACAGCACCGCAACATCCTGTTTGAAAATAATTGGTCTAGTAAATAAGAAACAGCAGAGAAAAGGAGAGGGATGAGCTACTTCACCTGAACGAGAAATCTGCCTCCTGTGCCCCTTGTTCAGACAGCATTACAAAGTGATGCACACACAAATAACTTTCTGCCAAATCTCCTCCTCCTATTGGGAAGAAAGCCAACAATGCGAAATGCAATCCAGTTGCATGCCCCACCCTCCTCCCGGGCTGAGTTATTTTAAAACTTCAAGCTCGCTCTAGATAACAACACTGACCAAAAGAAAAAATGGGGTGGGGGTGGCTGCGAAAGAGAAATAAGGAGGGCAAAACAGAGTGACGCAGAAGAAAGTGTGGCCAACAAAAGCAAAAGCTTATGTAGACTGATCAGTGTTTGCAGCAGCAGCAAAGAGATGTTGGGGGCAAGAACAAATAGCTTGGGGAAGGGGCTGCAAACAGTGGCAGTAAGTGGAACCAGCAAATACTGTTTGTTGGGAGAGTGGAAGTGTAGCATAGGCAGCAAAGAGGGGTTGGTGGTAGGGAGTGGTCAACAGTGGCAGGTGAGGGTTTTGGTCGTGAGGATTGAGTGTGGCAGGTTGGCTAGGGGCAGGTTTGACAGTGAGGACAGAGAATGGCTGGGATGGAGCTAGAGTTCTCTCTCTCTCTCTCTCTCTCTCACACACACACACACACACACACACACACACACACACACACACACACACACACACACACACACACACGGTGTTATTGGGCAGCCTGACACAGGGGGCCACAAGAGAGGTGCTTCAGGGTCTGCACAGTGGAGCGGGGTGTTAAAAGAGCCATCAGGCACAAGGACTGGGCTGCTCCAGAGTTTGGGATATGGGGTTGTGGTAGGGGATACAAGGAAGAGCTTGCATACAATCATATAGAAGTAGGGTGGGAAGGGACCTCCAGAGATCATCTAGTCCAACCCCCTGCCTGAGGCAGGAACATCCCTATCCAAAATATCCCATACAAACTGTAATCTAAGCTCTACGTGACACTACCATCAACCCTGACACAACACTGACCCTAAGAAGAGGGGCAAGACCCTCCAGCCTTAGCCCCAGCAGGAGCATTGGCACAATCCAGTAAAAGTGCCTAGCCTTTAGGGTTACCAAATTTCCAATTCCAAAAAAAGAGGACACCTGTCGTTGGGACACCTGCAGCGCCATGTGTCATGTTTGAGAGGCATTTGGTGGCATGGTGTGCACGTGCGTGTGTGTGTGTGAGGGGGTTATGGAGTGGCCTGACACAGGAGGGCACTGGGGCGGTGCTTAGGGACAGCGGGGGCAAGGGGGAGAACCGAGAGAACATAAGAATTTAGGGAATCCGTGAGTGTTCTGAATAAGGAGAAATGGTGAATAAAAGGGAGAGAGAAGAAAAACTTTTGCTGAATTAAAAAATACTCTTCAGAAATCTCGTCCAGAATAAGGTGACAAGGACTGTCAGCCGTGCACCTATTGTATTTACTCGAATAAAAGATGCTCCTGAATATAAGCTGCCCCCCCTCCCCACCAGTACTTAGCTTCTAGTTCGGACTGCAGAGGGGTGCTCGGAGCCGTGCCTCGCGGGGCTACTCCGGAGGAACAGCTGGCCCGTGGCATCGTGCTGCAGAGGCGGTGTGTGTGTGTGTGTGTGTGTGTGTATACGTGGGGGTTGGGGAGTGTGTATGTGGGGCTGGGGTGGGTGGGTGTGGGGGGGCAGGGAGTGTGTATGTAGGGCCAGTGTGTGTCGGGGGTTGGATGTGAGGGGCTGGTGTGTGTGGGAAGGTGGCGGAATGTGTGTGGGGGGTTGGGGTGTGGGTGTGTGTGTGTGGGGCTGGGGGGTGTGGGTGTGTGTGTGTGGGGCTGGGGGGTGTGGGTGTGTGTGTGTGGGGCTGGGGGGTGTGGGTGTGTGTGTGTGGGGCTGGGGGGTGTGGGTGTGTGTGTGTGGGGCTGGGGGGTGTGGGTGTGTGTGTGTGGGGCTGGGGGGTGTGGGTGTGTGTGTGTGGGGCTGGGGGGTGTGGGTGTGTGTGTGTGGGGCTGGGGGGTGTGGGTGTGTGTGTGTGGGGCTGGGGGGTGTGGGTGTGTGTGTGTGGGGCTGGGGGGTGTGGGTGTGTGTGTGTGGGGCTGGGGGGTGTGGGTGTGTGTGTGTGGGGCTGGGGGGTGTGGGTGTGTGTGTGTGGGGCTGGGGGGTGTGGGTGTGTGTGTGTGGGGCTGGGGGGTGTGGGTGTGTGTGTGTGGGGCTGGGGGGTGTGGGTGTGTGTGTGTGGGGCTGGGGGGTGTGGGTGTGTGTGTGTGGGGCTGGGGGGTGTGGGTGTGTGTGTGTGGGGCTGGGGGGTGTGGGTGTGTGTGTGTGGGGCTGGGGGGTGTGGGTGTGTGTGTGTGGGGCTGGGGGGTGTGGGTGTGTGTGTGTGGGGCTGGGGGGTGTGGGTGTGTGTGTGTGGGGCTGGGGGGTGTGGGTGTGTGTGTGTGGGGCTGGGGGGTGTGGGTGTGTGTGTGTGGGGCTGGGGGGTGTGGGTGTGTGTGTGTGGGGCTGGGGGGTGTGGGTGTGTGTGTGTGGGGCTGGGGGGTGTGGGTGTGTGTGTGTGGGGCTGGGGGGTGTGGGTGTGTGTGTGTGGGGCTGGGGGGTGTGGGTGTGTGTGTGTGGGGCTGGGGGGTGTGGGTGTGTGTGTGTGGGGCTGGGGGGTGTGGGTGTGTGTGTGTGGGGCTGGGGGGTGTGGGTGTGTGTGTGTGGGGCTGGGGGGTGTGGGTGTGTGTGTGTGGGGCTGGGGGGTGTGGGTGTGTGTGTGTGGGGCTGGGGGGTGTGGGTGTGTGTGTGTGGGGCTGGGGTGTGTGGGGGGTAGGCGGGGTGTTTGGGGCTGGGAGGTGTGTGTGTGTATGGGGCTGGGGGGTATATGTAGGGGGATGCGTGTGTATGGGTGGGGAGGCTAGGGAGTGTATATGTGAGGGTCGGAGTGGATGTGTGTGTGTATGGGTCTGGGGTGGGTGTGTGTGTATGTGGGTGTTCAGGGAGTTGTGGGTGGGTGGGGGAATGTGTGTGTGGGACTGGGGTGTGTGTTGTGGGGCTTGGGGTATGTGTGTGCAGTTGTGGGGGGGCTGGGGGTGTGTTGGCGGGCTGTTTGTGTGTGTGTGTGTGTGTGTGTGTGTGTGTGTGTGGGTCTTGAGAAGGCTGTGTGGCTGTGCACTCTCATACACCAACTACCTGCCACAGCTCTATGCCCAGAGAGAGGGCACAAGCACCCCTGAACCCTCAGAGCCCCCTGGGTGCCGGCTGCAGCCACTGGGCTGTGCCAGTGCTCTTGGCATTGGCTTAAACCTGGTGTTTCCTGGCTAGAGGGCTCTGCTCAGGGTCCCACCATTGGACAGATTTGGAGTCAGGAAGGAACTGTCCCTTATACCCAGCTTGGTACAAACTGGGTGGACTTTTTTGCTTTCCTCTGTAGCACAGGCAGGGTTAGGATCTCTTGAACGTATGGAGACAGCAAGACGCTGGCTGCCCCTGCCTTACCTGTGGCAGGTGAGGGTGTTAAGGCTGCATTGCACCAGGCTTGTCAGCAATTGTGTATAGAGTTTTGATGATGGATGTTTAAGGGATGGTTTGGAGGGGGATAATCCTGCCTCAGGCAGGGGGTTGGGCGAGGTGACCTCTGGAGCTCCCTCGCAGCCCTGCTTCTTTTCTGATTCTGTGAACCCAAGTGCACTTCATTCAGAGTCTGGGAAAGGACAGCACGGAGCAGAGCCTGGCAGGTTTCCGTGATAAGGTTTTATGAAACACACAATGGCGAAGAGAAAGCTAATAGGGATTTATAACTCTCTCTCTCACCAGATGAGAACTCGGGGTCACAAGATGGAACGAGGAGGTGGGAAGTTGAGAGCCAAAAAAGGAAGCTCTTTTTCATACAACGCATCATTAAAGTGTGTTGGCACATGTTGCCATCAGATGCGGTGGAAGCTGACAGTTTAGTCAGATTCAAAAGGGATTGGACAGATTCTTGGAGGAAAGGGGCATCAGTAGCTGTTGACACAGGAGTTTGGGATACCACCTCTGAATCAGAACTTCTTAGACCTTAAGTGCTGGAGGCTGCAATTGAGAGCAACAGTGGAAAAAAACAATTCATACCCAGGTCACTCTTCCTTTCAGCATCTACTCTTTGCCACTATGTGGCACAGGAAGCTGGGCAAGATGGTCTTATGCTGTGACCCAGTAAATGGCAATTCTTAGGTCCTTATAAAGTGGAACAAGTGATTAGAATACAAAACATAGGAAAGCAGGAGGGGGAAGGGGTACTGGGAGATGCGTACAAGCAAAGACCCCACAGGAAAAAAGGGGTCACAAAAGCTAAGCCAGGTAATGAGAGATGAATATAGATATGTATGCACAGGCCAAAGAGCGCAGAAGCAACCTTAATTCTGGCATTTCCTAAGTTTAGAGAACTTGATTTAGGAACCATTAACACCTCTAACTTAAAAAAAATACGTATGGAAAATATAGAAATAATATATTTTTATTGAATGAGAGAATACACTCAAGTGATTCATCTGTCTATAACAGTCTGCTTAATATGTGTTAAATATGAAGTTTATTCCACCCAAAAAAGCCAGAGCATTTTGGCTCTGTGTGCATGAAGTGAAGATGGGGGCTGGACCCAATGATCTATCTCATGAGGTCCCTTCCAGCCCTAAGCTTTTGTGAATCTGTGTGAATCTGTGAATCTTTAGTCCTTTTTTAAACCACTCTTCACAGTCCAGTACAATCCAGGTTGTGGGGATCTTCCCATTCCTTGCAAGATTAACGCCTACTTGTTTAAAGCGGGTGGCTAGGGGAGTCAGGGCTCTGGTCCAGCAGTGCTACTGCTTTGCCTGTGACCTTTGATAAACCACTTAACCCCTCTGTATGCCTGTTTCCCCATTGGTAAAATAGATATAATAACAATTCCTCACTGCAGAAGCGTTTTAACAAAGGTTTCATTAGTGTTTGTGAAGCACTTTGAAATCCTCCGTTGTTATATACGAGCTAAGTGTTACATAAATAGACTGTGATTGCTTTTATAACAAAGTGAACCCTTTATATAATATTTTTGTATGTTCTGTAAAGCATCTGGTGTACCATTTGTCTTGCAAAGATAATGAGTAGTAATAATCATTTGAAGTTCATACTGTTACTTAAAGTCTCATTACAGTGGTTAGTGGTTTGCTACTGTAATGCCACAAACCCAAACAAATAGATTATTACAAAAGAACAAATATAGTCTAGATCAACATTTGCATGTAAGATTAAAATATATTTTTACTCTATATAGTCAGAATGAAAGAAACAATACTTTTCCTTATAATAGTAGATGTATATATGGAATTGCAACACTCATTTGAATTTCAGTACTGTTACTTCACTAAGACTGAGCAAATAGTGATATTTCTAGCAGAATTGTGGGGAAAAATTAGGATTTTAATAAAAACACTGAGTGAATCAATCTATTATTGATTTTTGTTTAAACAGATCTCTTTGGTATGGATAATATATGTAGAAATACATATCGTGGTACCAAATCTTAGTAGAAATTGATGGGAGTTGAGGAGACTCAACACCTGGATTGTTTAGCAATTTGTATGGCTAAAGTCTACAACATATCCTTTGTCTGATGAAATAATAAGCAGCCACACTGAAATCCTATGCGTAAGGGAACCGAGATAATTTTAGTTGTAAAATCCCTATGAAGATATCTTCAAATGTAGTCTTTTCAAACACAAATTTACACCTACAAATCCTCCCTGTCTGAAGTAAGGCAATAAATGTAATTATTCATGCTTAAGCTAATATATTACTTTAAATATCTAAACCTCTATTACTGTATTTTAAAATCAGAATTATTTCAAATATGGTTAAATGTTGGTCCTCTTTCAGGACTGCATGCATACGACATTTGCAGGTTTATCTTGGATTAGTTTTTGGATTACCTGAGTACAAAATAAATATCTGATCCAGTTCTCAATGGGAAAATGTCTTTTTTTTCATATTCTTATAATTCCAAGGCAGCATTCCATTCAGCTATGAAACTTTTCAAAATATTAATTTCAGGTGCAATGGTAGGCATGAGAAATTTTAGTTCAAGGGCAATTATTTTTAAAAACTGCTAAGATATTGAACATAGGGTGTGGTGCTGTTTGATCTGTGATAATAGCCTTACCATGGTGGTTTACTAAAGCATGGCACAGGAAAATTGTGAATAAGGCCTTTAAATTCACATATATCAAAGGTGTGGTAAACAATCATGAAACCAGCCTTGGAATCCTTACTAAGGCAAATTGACATCAGTGATATTACTGTGCGGTGCTGGATTATAACACCACATGATTATTTTGCACTCAGTTAAAAATACTTTGTTAGGAACTCCCAAATTATATATCTGTTTTTGCAACAAGACTGCTCATATCAATTAGGGCTGTGTGAAACGGCACCATTTCATTTCAACTTCTGTGTCTACATTTTGATGGGACAATGTTTTGTTTTAAGTTTTGTTTTGTTTTGAAGCTGTGTTCAGTTTCATTTTGTCAAAGCCATTTCACTGTTTGACGTTTCGTCCATAAGTTATAATGGGGAAGCACAAAACTGCCTATGACTTTGTCATTTCCTAGCAGATTTGGATGAAAACCCCCGGTGGTAGCTCCTGCTGAGTGCATGAAGCCTACCAGATTTCAAGGAGATAGGTGCAGGGTTTTCTGGGAAACTGCACCTCAAAGTCTTGAAAGCAAAACTTGTGTCACTCCAAAACAATAGAGTAAAATAATGTGACATACTACAAAGATTTCCCTGTACTATGGCTCTCAGCCAGCAGTGTACTTGGGTTCATCCGTACCTCTAAGTGTTGAGCAGGCCCTTTCAAATTACTCATAGATCTAAAGTTATACATGTGCTTAAATGCTTTGCTGGACTGAAGTCCAAGTTAGTATAAATGTTTACTTTAAGTTTACTGACACAAACTAACTTTTATTTTCTCTATACATATTTCTAGAGGGCCAAAAAATAAAAGTGCAATGGGTGGAAACATCCTGGTTCTGTTATTACAATTACAATCACAAGTTCAGCATCTTACCAGCATTAATGCTGATTTCCCACGTATTTTTACAATTTTACACCAGTATATTTCCACTCAATTCCTTGGGTATACTCCTAAAGTATACCTATGTACAAGGGGAAAAAAGCTCATTCTCTTAAACAAGAGACATCTTCTCATTGTGCCAAAGTATTTTTCATATAGCAGTGATAGGTCATGAGCTACTGCAGGTCTGCCAACATAGTAATTCTTTCATAACAGTTTTTGTTTTGTTTTATTTTTTGTTTGCTATTGCAGGTGATCTTGTCAGGAATCATAGGATTAACAACATGGAAGAGACCAATGATACTTTTGGTATGTACCAATTAAAATGAGAGAAATGAAGTAAAGAGAAATGTCGAAGTACTCTTGATGAACAGGGGCATTGCATTAAATATTATTTAATTGAAGCCTTGGAGCAATACAAGTCTACAGATGATTGTGACAACTTCCAACAGATCAAGAAGATTGAAGTAGACTATAAACATTAAATAGACAGAAAGAAAAATAATATCAAATGAGGCTATGGGGGGAATTGGTAGCGGCAGGAAAAATAATGATAAACAGCATTTTTGGCAAATTGTAGTCAAAGGGTTAAACAATTCTAGCTTAATTCCCAATCTGTATATTCCTGAATATACATGGGTTTTGTTTTAAAAAAAAATAAGTTTAACAACTTACAGTGGCAAACAAATGATGGCTTCTTGCTGAAGAAAATATGTTAAGCTACAAGCAGATCATTATCTCACCTCTGAATCTCATATAACAGCACATATATTCTAAATGAGAAATGAAAAGACCCCCAGCTTTGATTTTCTTCCCTCAAGAAATTTTCAAGGAATTCTTTGACTGGTGGTGTCCAATTTTGCTTCTAGAATGCATTTCTTAGGGGATCTGGTAAGTATTTTCGTCCAGTTGTTTAGAGTTCTTACTTGAGCTCAGGTGCTCACACTATCAGTCAGGTTTCAAAGCTCATGAGCCTTCCCTCCGCCTCCCCTCCCATCATTGAATTAGGTAGAGATAAAAGCTGCCTTAAGAAGTAATTAGAAATCTTTTCTGTTTTTTATGAGAACCATAGGTCAGCACCCCAAAGTTCAGCTCCATACAATAAAATGGACTCTACCTTAGATCTATAGATGTTTAGGGCATTTATACACATGCTGTGGGGGGGTACTTTAATTAGAGTGGCTCTAAGAGATGGTCTAATTAAAGTGACTGGAGCATCTCATGCATCAGTGTCCCTGCGCTTAAAAACGGCAGTGGGGGCACTCATTCAACAAGCTTTAGTTAAAGTGCCCTGCAGCCATTTTTAAGCATGGAGACACTGATACACGAGAAATGGGAGGCTGCTGGAGCGCAGTAATTACTTGATTAATCGATTCTGCTCCGATGCGCTGTATTACAGCATGTTGGAGCAGCCTCCCTGCTCATGTATAAGCACCCTGAGTGCTGCCAGAACTGCTCTTCATCCTATCTTATTGTAAAAGGATAAAACTCCGCCCAAGGCTTGTTTTGCTCTACTGTTTACATTTTCAGTGTACTGATTCCAGTTCAGGTTTTTGATAAAATAGATTCCAAGTTATTAAAGATACTAACTAAATTATTTTATCCATAATGTGGCATATAGGTTTTTTTCCACGCCCCAGCTCTTGTTAGCAGTAATGGGAATTATTGTATCCTTTCAATACAATTCATTTTGTTCTTGGCTATACAATTTTTTCCACATTTGTGTAAGTATTTCCCAATAAGCAAGTGTAGGTTTAGTATAACAATTCAAACCTTTGGGAGTAATGTATTATGCTTCTTTTAAAACAGTAGTTTGAGGACTGAACTCAGTTAGAATATACTAGTGTCTATTAGTACAGCAGAGAGGTACACCAGAGACTATTGTCTTAAAACTTCTGACTTTTTTCTGCCATAGATATTTAAGACATTTAAGTATCTTACTGCTTCAGGTATGTAGGCCATATCTAGTTAGAAATTAAATTAAATGTTCTGGATCTCAGTTGGTCTTGATGTCTCAGGTGCCTGGAAATTAGATAGAAAGCCATTCACCTCAAGTGCACCATTTCAGATTTCCCATGGCACTAGTAACTAAAACGTATTGCCACTTTATAGAAGTGTGTGTTAAACTGGGTGATTTCAGTCCAGCTTCACGTTACAAAAACGGTAGTGCACTGACCAAGGGCTGTAGTGGATATAAAACCAGTTGCTTTCTCATTTTAAGGCGAGTTCCTCCTGTTTGGGGAAGTGCAGACAGACTCAAGGCACCCCTTCTCAGACTCAAGGCAGCCCTCCATAACTTCTGTGAATTGAGTGGCACCCCATTTAAAAAACTACTTTTTTTATTACAGGGCTCACCTTCTTGCAGAGAGGACAGGCAGTGTGGGTAGGGTAGTAGCACAGAAATAAATATAAATGCCATCTGTCTTTAAGTGTTTTAGGCTGTGAGGAGCTACACTGTTTCTTCATATGAAAAACTTGGTTACTGCATTTTGTTCCTGCTGGTCCTTATCATCTCATTCTTTTCTACAACCTAATCCTCCTTTCATAGTCCTCTTTCTTTAAATTTGAAGGTTATTTGTAGTCTTACCTAAATGCTGAATCAACAACACATCTGCCCTTTTACTTATATCCATAACGAGTAGGCCCTGCATTGTTTTTTTTTCTTTTATATTTGTACATGTATTTTATTGAAGTGTGATGTTTTTTCAAGATTAGGCCATAAATTCAATAGTTCAGAAAAAAATCCACAATAGAGGATGTTAAAAAAAGTAGCAAGGTTAGGGGCTGTAAAGCCATGGAAGGAGGAATAACTTATTAACATTCAAAGGAAACGATGTACAGGAACAGCTGCAGTATATCTTGGAAAGATGACTAGTATCTATCAAGATGCTATTTCGGGTTAAATTCCTAAAACCCCTTGTCAGGGATAGGATGGAGGGCCCCCCCCCTGGGAGCTATGACTGTATAAGTTATACAGAAAGATTCCTCCAAATTATAAAGACAGACTAAGCAGGCATGACATGGCAGGGTTTAGGGACATGAGACTCATACTTTAAATGAGGCATAGTTTTTTAGAGCTGATCGATCTCTGCTCTTCAGGCTGCTACTGCTCTTCAGGGGACTGAGGAATGGCCTCTGTCCCTTTTTTACAAGGGGCAACCTATGCAAGGGCTCCTGTCCAATGACTTCTCCTGAGTATAGATCTATTGGCCTCTTGAGCACTCTACCTTCAGGGCTGCCTTCTACATCAGTATATTCAAGACCTGCAGAGAGCCCTTCTCTCTGATTCATAAGGGGCACACAGATCACATACTTCTCTTTGTTAACCTGTTCGAGGTTATGACACAGTACTCTGTATTAAAATAACCCTTGCAGATGAATTGATTTGATATGTAGTCAGTTTTACAAGTTTTCTGGAGAATGTAGATATCTAAACATCTTTTGAATTTGGTACCAGTATCATTCCAGAAATATGAGCACTTAGGACAGCCTCAAGCACACAGTATGAATTCTCAGGATTGTTATTGCATCACCAACTTACATTAGTATTTGCAACATCTGCATGAAGAGATTTTGGACAGTGTTCAGTGCTTACGACATTAGTTGTTGGGTTAATGATGATCATAAATCTTACTTCTGCCATAGTGTCAACATTAAAATCTTCTCCAATGCTCCTAGGTAAAAGCTTCTTATCTTTCTTTTTGTCCATACCTGCTATCAGTGATTGTTTCTTTATGTAATCCTCAACCACTTTAAGGATTGTAATTTAATATAATGTGATGTAGATTAGAAGTAATTCAACCTAGTAATTAAACTTTGTCTAAAAGCTATTTGATTTGATTTTTTCATTTTCCTTAATTTTCTTGTAAAGTTCTAATTATTTCTGTAAGGGCCCTGTGTGCTAATCATCTACTTCACTTACAAGGATCAAGATTTTTTTCTGCCATTTCTGGAAGTTTTTTGATTAAAACGGTTTCTTCTTTGCAGTGGCACTGTGGCCACATTATTCACAGCCCTTTGGTAGAGATTTCTCAAGTACAAAATGACTCTCCTTCTTTCCTCCCTTTTAGGTAAGCGTTTATTGCTGTTGTGAAGTTTTCTTTGCGCATGATCAAAGAAGGATAAATTCAACACTGGTTTGTTATGTCCTATGTATCTTATAAATAGAAAAATGATGGGTCTGTTATAAATTTACAAAATAATAGTATCCCAACTTTCCTCTGGTTAGAATCATAGAAAGTTAGGGTTGGAAGGGACCTCAGAAGGTCATCTAGTCCAACCCCCTGCTCAAAGCAGGACCCTCCCCAAATAGATCATCCCAGCCAAAGCTTTTTCTAGCCAGGTTTTGAAAACCTCCAAGGATGGAGCTTCCACCACCTCTCTGAGTAACCTGTTCCAGTGTTTTACTACCCTCCTAGTAAGAAAATTCTTCCTAATATCTAACCTAAACTTCCCTTGCTGCAACTTGAGACCATTGCTCTTTGTTCTGTCATCTACCACCACTGAGAACAGTCTAGCTCTATCCTCCTTCAAACCCTCCTTCAGGTAGTTGAAGGCTGCTATTAAATCTCCTTTCAGTCTTCTCTTCTCTAGACTAAATAAGCCCAGTTCCCTCAGCCCCCTCACCATTTTCCTCCTAAATCATGTCCCCCAGCACCCTCACCATTTTTGTTGTCCTCCATTGGACTTGCTCCAGTTTGTCCACATAATTTCTGTAGTGGGGTGCCCAAAACCGAACACAGCCTTGGGTTAGGTGAGACCTTCCTGTATTCCTGAATCATGTATCCAGCACAGCCTTTAGCAGGTTGAAATATAGTTAAAAATATTAGCTACCATATATGTTACAAGATCAGGTTATGTACTAAGCAGGCCCCCTGACATGGTCTTTTTTTTGTAGGTTAGACTGGATATTCAGTTTGGAAGCTGTGGCAGTCTGAAACCTACCATGATTTTAGTTGCCCTGATCTTTCATTTTGTAGGGTCAGTTAGTACACACTTTTGCTGTTCTGTTTTTTTAACATTTGTAGCTTCAGTTTGATTTTCCAAACTCTTCATGTTGTTTCTCTAATTTGCCCAAGTTGGCTGCTAATATTGGCTTCCTCAGTATTGGGTTGTGTGTCATTCACCCTTTTAATGGAAACTTTTCCTTTCTTCTAAAGGCTTTCCCATTCAAAAACTCTTACATTTGGCCTTTAACTGAAGGCATGCCTCTAAACTGTATCCGTGCTTCCTCAATATATTAAGGTAACTGCAGTATAGTTAATACATATCTCTTCTAGGCCATGTTTGCCACAACCAGTGTGTCCTCGGGTCTTACTGTTCTCCAGCTAGTATTAAGCTAGTATTTTTTTCATCTGTGCCCGGTTCACCCCTGGATTATTTATGTAGCACTTTCAGGTGATCCATGAAGTGTTTTACTGATGAATCGTGTATCAGTTGGTGATATGCGATGCTGGTTACAGCCCAGTTCAAGATGCATTTGACCTTGGCTTTCTGACTAGCTACAACCAACCTCTCAAATCAAGTACATCTCTATATCCCTCATGGCTGCTTTGTGATTTTTTGTTGTGTGTTTTTCTTGAGAGGAAATTTATTTGTGAACAGATATATGAAAGACATAAGTAGAGCATTTGCAAACACACAAAAGGACAGAATCAAACTGCTAAATGACCTGGAAAGATTAGCACTATGACAGCTGCAGGCAACAAAGGGATATTCAGTACTAATACATATAAAGTCCTTGCACAAGGAGAAGAAATTAACAGTTTAAATGCAAATTGTGTAGATGTAACTGCACCAGTCAATAACATCATACACATTGCAGTTTTATTTTAAAAAGCTGTCTGTGAAAATAGCAGTCAGTGCTTTCATATTCATAGTCAGTGATTTCC